ATGGCACAGCGGGAAAAACTCACGGGTTTTGACAGACCTGAGTTCCAACACTAACCCTACGGCTAATCATCCGAACCACTGTGGGGACGTCACTTCCTTTCCCTGAGCTTCCGTTTCCTTGCCTGCAAACTGGGGTGTTACCCACTGCTCTGCAGCTCTCAACACACTTCCCGACACTTGGTGAGCGCCCACTTCACCACTCACCTCAGGTTTACTAAGGAACACTTTGACCCTTTCCCCTTGGGACCCTGGAACCGATCCACACCTTTGAGGCCATTTCTAATGGGCCTGGGTTCCACGGAAGCCACATGCGGTTCTACCAGCCTGGGCCCACGAGCGCAGTGCCCCATGGAACGTGTAAGATCTCGCGGGTAGTCCTGCTCAATCACTCACCAGTCGCACACGCAACCTTGGACGAATCAGCGGGCCTCCTTATCTGTTCACCAAAGATATGAACCTTATTCAAGTCTTGTCCCCCTACTCTTACTTTATCAACAAAATCAAGGTGAGCGCGTGTCTCCCTGCCCTCCCCACCTCCAGCTGCAAACACCTTCATCTCCTCTCCGCCTGTCCTCGCCCCCCTCTTCAAACCTCCCCCTCCCCCGAATTACTTCATTTGGTGGCACACGCACGCACTTGTCCCCCAGGCCACCTCTGTCCATCCCCCAAACCTAAGTAAGCACCAAGTTCTGCCAGTTTTACATCTGAGATGTCTCACTCTCCCTCCATCTCACTGCCATCATCCTTGTTCAGGTCACTGTCACCTCTTGCCTAGACTGACTCCTAACTGGTCTCCCCGCCACACGATTATTTCGAACCGAGAGTCATTTGGTCCTCTCCCTCCAGATCACTCCTGTTCCTTCTGTCTCCCCATTTCTGTTCGTGGTGACATTAGTCTTGCCACTGGGTTGCTCTGGACTGTTCCCTCTCCTGTAAATCTTTCCTCTGGCATGAATGCCTGTCTGATGGGTAGCTGGATCCAGTCACTTCTGAGCTCCTTTCTAACTCTTCCTTCGCCCAGCACACATGGAGTGCGACCACGTGCCAGCACGAGCAAGGCAGTGTGGGTATAAGATAAAGAAGCAATCCCAGTCCCAACCCTCAAATTCAGGCCAGTACCAGACCAGCTCAGTACCGCAAAAGCCTTTGACTGGTCTGTCCATCCTAACCTCTCACTCAGAAAAGCGATCTTCTGAGCTCACCTCTTGACTGTGCCCAGAAACCCTCTACCACCTGACCATGGAATACTTTTCTAGATTTATCTCCAAGTCCACCTTCTTGACCCTCTGCCTGCCCAAACTGGTCCCCTCAGGCTTCCGGACCTGTTTGCACTCGCCTCGTTTCTTACTCACTCGGGCTGCTGGCCGCACCTGGAAACTGTTGCCTACGCCTCTCTGGTCACAGCGACCAGTTTGGACACCAGCTCTTTCATCAAGAACAAAACCCAAGCAACGGACAATCATTTCTTTCAATAGTCTCGATGCTGTCACCACTCACGGCTTCCTCTTTTCATTACTTTAATCTCACACATCTATGTCTTTTCTCACCAATTCAGGGTGTAAATTCCTCAAGGAGGCAATTTCTTCCACTTCTCCCCGTTCCCCACAACAACGAGCAAGCGGTAAGGTTACATGGGCTCAGTCTATAAAACTGTGCTCACTGACTTGGCCAGTACACGCGAGGCCCTGGGTCACGTGAGGATGGACAGTGATCATATGAGCGAGTCCTGTCAACACATATGGACACAGACAGTACCTTCTGCCACCTTCCCACTTCCTGTCTGTATATCCACGTACGCGCACCCTACTCGAGTGATGCGCTGTTTTGTCCACGTCTACATTCTAAACTGCTCCTTCTCCAGCCTTCTGTTTCTCTTAGTGACCGTATCCATCTGCCAGGCACTCAGGCAGGGACCCAGAATCATCCACCCATGTTTTTCTCTAGCTCACGTCCCACAGCGAAACACCCACTGAGCCCTGTGTCCTTTACCCGCTAACCGTGTCTCAAACCCACCCCCTCTCTCTCCCGACTACAGCCCTGGGTCATACTAGCAACTTTTCTGCTTTATGGGAAAGTAATCACCTCCTCAATGGTTTGCCAGCCTTCAGCAATATCCCCCTCCAGCGTGCAGAACTGACCCCTTCACTGTGGACTGAAACTGCCCAACAGACACCCTTGGCCTGGCCTACAGGCCAACAGCCAAGCCCTCTGCACACCAGCTGTGCGAGTCCTCTTGCCGCCCCTCACTTCACCTTTCTTACCTCTGAGATACCAGACCCCATGTGGTTCCCTGAACAAACCTAGATGTTCCCACCTCCGTGCCTTTGCGGATGCTGTCCCAATCTCCTGCCAAGCCCTTCCCCCACAGTCTTGGCCTGGCTAACCCCTCCCCTCACGCTTCACCTCCTCTGGGAAGCATTCTGTGGTCTCCTTTGCCCACCAAGGCTAGGTTAACAGTTTTTGTGCTTCCATCAGCCAGCGCATAACAATCACCACACTCAACAGAGTGGGCTAAAACGATCTATGCACACATCGCAATCACCAGTGCCTCCCCAGAGCCTAGCACAGGACCTGGGACACAGTAGCTGAGCGGAGAGAGTTGGTTAAAGGCGGGAAGCAAGACTAACTTCCCTTCCCTAGGCTGGTTTCCTCTGGTCTTCCCCTGACCCAAAATCTCAGGTCGGCCTCGCTGCTTCACTACTGCCACCTAGGGGTGAAAGGAGGTAACTGCACCTCTTTCACCATTCAGCATTTAATTTGATTCCATTGAATGAGATGGGAACACAGGCGAGGTAACAGTTGACTCCAGCGTGGGTAGAGAAAGAGTGGCAGTCAGGGGAGGCTTCAAATGGTGAGTGAGCTCTGACCTGGGCCACACAGCATGAGAAAGAGATCTCTAGGTGGAGGAAAACGGCATTCCAGGCAATGGGGGCAAAAGGCAGAGGGTGTCAGAGTTTAGGGCCTATGTGCAGGTGAACTCAGAAAGGAGGGGAGCGTTAGAAAGTGCAAGACCTGGGACCCCAAACTTTAGCTTTTAAGCCACCTAAAGAGGTTAAAAAATTAATTTTTTTTCCACCCAAAGACTCTTAATTGCGAGTAACATAACCAGATCTGCATTTAAAAAAGATAGCTCTTGCTGGAGTGTGGAAAGATTATAGAGATGGGAGGCAGGAGTGAGAGAGGCAAAAGCAAGGCATTAGGAAGATGGTATTTTCATAATTCTCCTCTCATTTTCCACTTGCTGCCCCATGACCTCAGATTGAACACATCCAACCTGAAACTCCGCCTCCTCAAAACCAAGTGCTTCAACATAAACGTGATTTATTTCCACATTTTGAGATGTTCTTATATATTGGCTTCTCCATAGGCCATGAAGTCGCAGAATTTTATAACAGATCCCACCACAGAGCTTTGCACACTGAAAATGCTCAATGACAATTGAATGGAATGTCTCTCGGGGTCCCCCAGACCCTGGGATTATAAGAACAGTAAACCCCAGTAGTTAAGAGTAAGGACTCTGAGTCAGAGGGCCTGAGTTCAAATCCTGCCATCAGCCACTTTCCTGTGTGAGACTGGTCTCATTAAGTGACCCATCGAAACCTCAGTTTCTTTGTTCCTAAAATGGAAATTACAACACACAGCACCTACCTCAAGGGCTAGAGATAAATATCTGTGAGTAGAAAGCACACAGTAAATCCCCACTAAATATTACTGTCGACTACTTATAACATTATAAATTCAGTGTCTACCAGGCACAGGTCACGCACGATGCAAGGCGCTTCCCACACCCTTAAATCTGCAGGGCAATATTCTAATCCATCCCATTTTACAGATAAGAAAACTAAGGCTCCCACAGTTGAGTTTGTTCAACGTCTCGGGAGCACTGGATTCCAAGGCATCAGAGATGGGGCTAGGGGACCTTTTAGTGGAAGATAATTTAGTCCAGTGGTGGTTCTCACACGTGTGAGTGTGTATGTGTGTGATACTCTGGGCAATGTCTGCAGATATTTTTGATCTTCACAACTGGGGAATGAGGACACTGCTGGCGTCTAGTGAGTAGAGGCCAGGGATGATACCCAACATCCTACAACACACAGAACAGCTCCCCCCACCCCAAACCAAGAATGATCAGACCCAAAATGTCAGTAGTGCCAAGGCTGAGAAACCCTTCTCTAGTGAATCCTCCTCCCCATCGTCCCACTTCTGGAGCATTGGCTATCCGGATCCCCCATGAATACTTTCAGTAAGGGGGGATGTGTGCTCTATTCCTCCAGGGGCAGCACCTGCAGAAGTCCTTACCCACCTGCCCTACACACGGCAGGTATTAGAACCCATTTTAATAAGCCTAGCAGCAAAGGACGCCGGAAAAGGAAGAGCATCCATACCCCATTGTTCAATTGCGTGCAGTTTGTGTTTTCAACACACACACACACACACTTTACAAATCCAAACGTCCCACGCCCCAAAAATTGTTTGTTAGAGATGGCGTTCAAAAAAAATTATTTTTTTCTAGGACTCTCATACATACTGAAGGGTTTGCACACTTCTAGGAGGACCTCAGATCGGCCGCGGTCCTCTGACAACGACCACAAAAGAATGTGTAGGATTTCCCGGGGGAGCGAGCCCGTGGGCCGTGACCTCTGCGCGCGGAAGACGCCCACCCCACTCCCTCGCCTCTGGCTTCGCTCTCCCGCCCCCGGATACCAGGCCTGCAAGGCTACTCGGGCCCGGCCTCGGAACCCGGCCGCCAGGCGCGTGCCCACGCCGTGCCCCCCTATCCCGGCCCTCCCGGCGGCCGAGGAATCCGGCCCGGGGTCTGTCGCCGGCGCCCACACCGGCCGGCCCCAGCCCGCTCGCCGAGGCCCGCGCGCGTCCCCTCCTGGCCCGGCGCGGCCTGGGCCTCCACCGGTGCAGGCCCGCGAGCGCCCGCGGCCCGGCCAGGCGAGATCAGGCCTGCCGCGGCCTACCCCGTCGGGCACCGCCAAAGGCCCCCGCCTCACCTGGAAGTGGGCGGGCGGGCCCGGGTCTGCTCCGGGGCGGGCGGGCGGCGGCGACGCGGCGCTAACGGCTCCGCTCGGCCTCGGTAGCGGTGGCGGCGGCGGCGGCGGCGGCGACGGCGACGGCAGCGGCGGCTCCTCCTCAGCGCGCACGACCCGCTCCGGCCCACGGCCCGGACACGCCCCCCCGGCGCGCGCGCCCATTGGCCGGCGTCCGCCACGGCGCGCTCCTCATTGGTCCGCGTTGCTGTCGCGGCGAACCGGGGCGCATGGAGGGGGCGGGACTTCCGTCTGGCGCCGCCTGAGGAGGGATCGGCTGTAGGCAGAGACGCGGGTGGCCAGCGATGGCTGCGGAGGGGGCAGACTGGGGCCTGGCCCACGGAGGCCGATGGATGGCGGTGGCCGAAGGGCCATGCCACTTGTCGAGGGCATGCTGTGGGTCTCGCGCCTGTCTGTCCCGCCGCCGCCGCGGCCGCCGTCACCACCCTGCGAGGTAGGAGCGGTAAGCATGCCAGGGCTCTGGGGACAGAACCCGGGTTCGAATCCCGGCCCCGACGTTTCAGCACTACGTGCCGTTGGGCATGGGCTGACGTCACGTCGCCGGGCCTCAGTTTCCTTATCAGGTGTAGTGAGGAAGTGGGGCCTGGGACGTGATCAGTGTACCATCAGTGTTGATTATTAGAACTAGCGGGTTTCCAGAGGCTCTGCCTGACATCCATTCATTAAAATTTAATTGAGCGCCTACTATGTGCCAGTCACTGTATGGACAGTGAACAGACAAAAATACCTGCCTCTATTTGGCTGACATTCTCGACTGGCGCTGTCCATGAGAAATGTAAGCGAACCACAAATGTTACCCACGCGCATAATTTAACATTTCTCGTAGCCATACTAAAGGATAAAAAAAAAAGAGAAAGAGAGAGAGAGAGAAACAAGTGATGTTAATTTTAATCATGTGTTTTATTTAATCCAATTTATGTCCAAAATGTTATTTCAGCGTGTAACCAATATAAAAAGGTATGAGATCTTTTTACATTCTCTTTTCTTTTCATGCCTTTGAAATCTGGTATGTCTTTTACACTCACAGCCCATCTGAACGTTAGACTGGCTACGTTTCAAGGGCTCAACAGCCACAACTGATAGCAGCTACCGCATCGGACCATGCAGAGCTAGATGGGGAGGCAGGAAAGAAATCAAGTGGATTCCACACCAAGTGGTGAAAAGTGGTAAGACTGAAAAGTAAATTGGACATAGGGCAAGGGTGGGGTGTGGAGGTTGCAGTTTGAAAGAGGGCTGTCAGGAAGGTTGAGAAGATAGGATTTGCAGAAGGACCCCAAGGAGTCAAGAACACTGAACCAATAATCATGCCATTTATGGTTTTGTGCAGTGTTCGTCCAATAGAACTTTCTGTGATGATGGGCATGTTGGGTTTTTTTTTATCAGCACTGCCTAATTTAATAGCCACTAGCTCCATGTGGCTTTTGGGCCCTTGACATGTGGCTGGTGGCACTGAAGAACTGAGTTTTTAATGTACTTAATTTTCATTTAATTTAAATTTGGTCACCTAGAGCTCGTGGCTCCCAGAGTGGATGGCATAGATTTAGTAGAATGTCGACGAGTCCAGTGCTCTGAGTTGAGCTTGTACTGTGTGCTGAATGCTTTATGTGGGTTCTATGGAGTCCTTACAATAGCTCTGTGAGAGGGGAGCTATAGTCACTGTCACCGTGATGAATAATGTAGTCTTTCATTCATTCGTCTGTGCTTTATCCTTGCTATCATTAATAGACTTTGTTTCTTAGAAGAATTTCAGATTTGCAGAAATGTTGCATAGAAGATACAGGGTTGCCATTTTCCCCATACCGTTTCCCCGTCTGTAACATCTCTCGTTAGTATGATACATTTGTTACACTTAATGAACCAATATCGATACATTATTGTCAACCACAGTTCATGTTTGTTTAGATTTCCTTTGTTTTTACCGAATGTCCTTTTTCTCTTCCAGAATCTCATCTAGGATACCACATTACATTTAGTTGTCTTCTCTCTCTAAAAAGAGATATAATTGACATACAATATTGCATTAGTTTTATGTATACAACATAATGATTTGATACATGTATATATTGCAAAATGATCACAATAAGTTTGGTTAATGATTAACCTCCATCACCACACATAGTTACAATTTTTTTTTCCCTTGTGATGAGAACTTTTTAAGATCTATTCTTGGGACTTCCCTGGAGGTCCAGTGGTTAAGAATCCGGGCAGTGGGCATGGGTTCGATCCCTGGTCGGGGAACTAAAACCCCACATACCGCATGGTGCGGCCAAAAAAAAAAAAAATCCCTTTTAAAAAAAAAAATTTATTTATCTGGCTGCACTGGGTCTGAGTTGCGGCACGCGGCATCTTCACTGCAGCTTGCAGCATGCAGGATCTAGCTCCCTGACCAGGGATCGAACCCGGACCGCCTGCATTGGGAGTGCGGAGTCTTAACTGCTGGACCACCAGGGAAGTCCCAAAATCTATTCTTTTAGTTGTCTTGTCTCTTTAGGCTCCTCTTGGCTTTGTCAGGTTCTCCAACTTTCCTTGTTTTTGATGGTCTTGATGGTTCTGAGAAGGGCTGGTCAAATATTTGGTAGGGGGCTTCCCTGGTGGTGCAGTGGTTGAGAGTCCGCCTGCCGATGCAGGGGACACGGGTTCGTGCCCCGGTCCGGGAAGATCCCACATGCCGCGGAGCGGCTGGGCCCGTGAGCCATGGCGGCTGAGCCTGCGCGTCCGGAGCCTGTGCTCCGCAACGGGAGAGCCCACAGCAGGGAGAGGCCCGCGTACCGCAAAAAAAAATATTTGGTAGGATGTCCCTCTATTGGCATTTGTCTGGTATTTTTCCGTGGTAATACTGGGATGATGGGTTTGAGGGAGGAAGACCAAAGAGGTAAAGTGCTATCCTTATTACATCATATCAAGGATACATACTATCAGCTTTATTTATGCATGTTGATATTGGCTTTCATCACCTGGCAGAGTTAGTATTTGTCAGGTTTCTCCACTATAAAGTCACTTTTCCCCTCTTTCCTTTGGAAGGTAGTCACTATGTGCAGCCCACACGGAGAGTGGAGATGTCTGTTCCCCTTCTCAAGGGTGGATATCTACTTAAGTTATATGGAATTCTTCTGCATGAAAGACTTACCTCTTCTTCCCCCCATTTATTAGTTTATCCAATCTTTTTTTTTTTTTCTTTTGCCGCGCTGCACAGCTCGTGGGATCCTAGTTCCCCAACCAGGGAACGAATTCCAGCCCTTGGCAGTAAAAGCACTGAGTGCTGAGTCCTAACCACTGGACTTCCAAGGAAGTCCCCAGGTTATTCTTGTTATCTCTCTCAGCACATGCTCTGAGGGTCCGTGAGATCAGGAGACAGAAAGATGACTCAGCTTGGGTTCCTGCTCTCGAGGACATCACTGCTGCAAGGGAGAAGAGGACGTGTAGACACATAAACCCAGTTAGTGTGACGAGGGCCAGGCACAGAGCACCACCTCTCATGAGGGCAGTGTCTGGGCCAGAGGACAGCAGGAGCAAGGGTCTACCAGCCAGAGGATGTGGGAAGTGGGGCTTCCAGATAGAGGGACCAGCCAGAGCAAAGGCACAGCTTTTGTTCCCGAGCGTGGTTCAGGAGCAGGGAGCGGTGGGACACGCCAAATGCAGGTCATGAGGAAAGAGGATGGTGAGATGGGACTGGAGAGGTGTCTGTCTCCAGCTGCAAAGGGCCCTAGAGAGTCAGGCAGGGAAGGTGGGATTTTATCCATCAGACCAGGAGCCGGCTGACTACAGCCCGATTCCACCCATGGCTCTTCTTTTGTACCACCTGTGAGCCACAAACGAGTTTTACATTTTTTTATTTTTTAATAAATTTGTTTATTTTATTTATTTATCTTTGGCTGTGTTGGGTCTTTGTTGCCGCACCCAGGCTTTCTCTAGATGCGCAGAGCGGGGGCTACTCTTTGTTGTGGTGGGCGTGTTTCTCATTGTGGTGGCTTCTCTTGTTGCAGAGCACGGGCTCTAGGCGTGTAGGCTTCAGTAGTTGTGTCATGAGGGCTGAGTAGTTGTGGCTCACGGGCTCTAGAGCACAGGCTCAGTAGTTGTGGCGCACGGGCTTAGTTGCTCTGCGGCATGTGGGATCTTCCCTGACCAGGGATCAAACCCGTGTCCCCTGCATTGGCAGGCAGATTCTTAACCACTGTGCCACTCGGGAAGTCCCTACATTTTTAAATGGCTGGAAGAAAACAAAAGAAGAATAGCATTTTGTGACATGGGAAAATTACATGACGTGCAGTTTCAGCATCCATGAAGTTTGATGGTAACACGGCCGCACCTGTCATCCATGTGTTGCTGGTGGCTGCTTTCAGGCCGCAGGAGCAGAGGTGGACTTGCTCAGGCAGGGCCCGCTTTCTGGCTACGTAAACGATGCAGTGACACAGGGCCTTGCACTTCTGCTGTCACTGTTCTGAAATCCTTAATCTATGAATGAGGAGCCCCATGTTTTTATCTTGCACCAGGCTCTATAAATTGTGTAGCCAATCTTGGCAACAGAGATCAGATGGCCCACAAAGCCTAAAATATTTACCCTGGGGCCCTTTTCAGAAAAAGTAGGTTGGTCTTGCTGTAGTGAGCAGAATAACTGCCCCACAAGTGGTCCAGGTCCTGGTCTCCTGGACCTGTGAAGGTGTTCCCTGACCTGGCAAGAGGGACTTTGCACATGGGATTAAGGATCTGGAGATGGGCAGGTGACCCTGGATTATCTGTATGAGACCAGTGTCATCACAAGTGTCCTTATCAGAGGGAGGCAGGAGGGGCAGAGAAGGAGATGCAGCAGTACTATAAGCAGTGATGCCATTGACATCTTTGAAGATGGAGGACGTGGCCATGAGCCAAAGAATGCAGGCAGCCTGTAGAAGCCAGAAAAGGCAGGGAAACAGATTCTCTCCTAGCACCTCCAGGAGGACCGCAGACCCACCGGCACCTTGATTTTAGTCCGGTAAGACTAACTTTGGACTTCTGACCTCCAGGACTGTAAGATAATAAATGTGTCTTGTTTTAAGCCACCAAGGTTGTGGTCATTTACTGTAGCAGCCACAGGACCCTGATATTCCTGCCATAGGCAGTG